GGCTGAGACACACTGGGGAAACATAGAAACACTAGGAAAACCAAGGTGAAAACAGACAAACCATGACACTGAGAGGTACAGCAGACTGTTAGCCCTTAATAACTTTTTGGAAAAGTCCTGTGCTGACCACTTTGTGAGATTTGTGGATAACTTTGATCTCTTCTGGGAGAGATGACATCTGTTCAAGTCTGATGGAATGACTCTGAATCAAACTGGAGCACAACTTCTGATTTCAAACATGAAGGATTTCCTGAACMAAGTTCCTGCTGGAACCAAACAAAAGCAGAGTGATCAGCTGAYGTCTGAGGCTGAAGAATAACAGGAGCAAACTGAGACACTGATGGAAAATAATGTACAAGCTGATAAGAAGACTGCTGCAGAACCACAGAGAGAGGAGATACTTCAAGCTGCAGAACTGGAAGWACATCTGGATTCATCAGCATCACAAACAGAGGAACCAGAAACCTTCAAGTGGAGAACAACTGACCATTTCTTCTCCTTCACCAGAGAACCATCAACTGAGAACAGAGGATGGGATGGAGACGACTGTAGTGTCAAAGAGTGGGGGCCTCTTCTCAGGAATGCACAGATGTGTTACGTCTCTCTTAGTCTCCAGCTTCAGAGCTCGACACATGAGACCATATTAGGGAAAGGAATGCTTAAGGTATACCGTGACAAAATTTATGGTGCCTCTGATGAACTACACTGTGAAGCCTATAAAGAGCCTTGTACGCCCCCACTCTTAGCCTTCGTCTTCATCTTTCTTACTTGGTGAATCATTTGGCTTAGAAGGCCACGATTTGGTTTTTGGCTGTAATCTCCTGGACTGCAAAATAAAGATTCTTGCTGTTCAACCAGCCTGTTTCAGAGTTTCTCACTTCATGAGAGAAACTCTGAAACAGGCTGGTTGTTTAAACAGACAAAGACTTGGTGTCTCTTATGTGTTCTTTCTTTAGCCTGAACAAAAATGAGTGGCATTYTGTCTGACATAAAAGGTAACACSTCCAGAGGTGTAACCAGGAAGACAAATACATTATAAGGGACATTCMCTRTTATAGTAAAAGAAGTTGTCAGTGTTTTGTTTTCAGCCCAAGGTCTCATGCTGAGGCCTGCTGAGTGCTGTGAACCTGAGTGGAGTCAGAAGATTGAAAATAAAGTTTTAAGAAGAAATCCAGTGGATTCTTGTTTATTCGGACATACACATTTCCTACAATTGGATGGATGGATGGATGGATGGATGGATGGATCCTGACATTAATCGCTGCCTTTATAGGGTTAGTTTGGTCCTTTTGAAGCGTGAATAACAGTTAATATCTTACCTGTTGTAGACCTGTAGATTGTTAATCCTGTCAGATTGAAACTTTTATTTCTTTTTCTGGTTGTTTAAAGATTATCTACAGCAGGTAAGATATGAATACAGTCTTTCAGAATGATTAGCATCCCTCTAAAGCATCAGCTTCAGTTGTTAAACCAAACAGTGTTAGCTAACATGCACTTGTTGACTCCAGATCTGGACCTCAGGTCTGAAGCTCCTTTTTTCAGCTTCATTTATCAGGTGAATGATGAGCGTAGATCTTCCTCTGCTCTCAGAGTGTGGAGCCCTGCAGCGGACCTCCAGCTCAGCTTACTGTATGTAGGGCGGCACATTTAAGTCGAGCGGGGTGAGAGGAACGAGTGTTCCCCTGCACCGCTCTCTGGGGAACACGCTCTATTTCTGGGGATGCTGCTGCAGGAAGTGGTTCTTCTCTGCTCTGCACAACCTGATCACCAACAGGAGTTAATGGGCCTCATGCAAGAACATGTTCGTATTCTTATCCTAAATTTATCTTACTTTTGTTCGTATGAAGGGTTCGTACGAACATGCCACGTCAGATTCAACAAACTCTAATATCTTCAGGAAAAGTGTGTAAAAATGAGCTGATGAATGTGTATTAGCTGCTCGAGGAGAGGAGATTAGCATAATTACCACCCTAAAAACACCATATAAGGATATGTTTCCTGTCCCACATACCAGGAAGTGTTCATTCATAAATGACAACGTAAAGTAAAAAAGAAGAACTTTACGAGTTCAGAGATTAAAGTCCTGCTCTCAGAGATCCACAAAAAATAAGTCATTTTTAGCAGCGTCAGCTGTGGAATTAAAGAAATAACTACTGCTGTTAATGTTGTGTCTCCTGTGGGTCGTACAGTCACAGAAATAAAAATCTAAATCATATTCATCTCTCTGTAGTCCTGCTCCAGTTTTTCTTTGGTCTAATATTTTTAATATCAGTGTAAACAACTGTGTTACATAGTTTTCATTTATTCAGAAGAGCAGTCGCGCACTGTTACCCACCACCCCGACCGTCACAAGTGTCAGATATGGTTCTGAAAAGACACATTTTAAAATGTCTCCAAACTTCAATTATTGCATAATTTAAGTTGGTTTGTAGTTTGAGATCTTCATATTAATATTGTAGTATTAATATTATAGTGTTAACCCCTTTAGATAATAACAACTGTGTCTCTTATCAAAGTTTACCTGAATGTTGGAAGGTAATAAGTTTTTATGAGCCTTGTACATAAACAGTAAAATATTATAGTCAACCAAATCATGGTTTTCAGTTTCTGCTCGTCTGACCACCGTGGGGTCAGAGCCTTCAGCTGCTCAGAYCCCCGGCTGTGGAACGTTCTCCTTCTGGACCTTAGAAGTTCAGTTTCTATTACCACCTTCAAATCCCAACTCCAAACCTTTCTGTTCAGAACTTGAACCTTAATCTTTAAAACTACCATTAATTTTACAATTTTTAATAAGACTGTTTTTAATTTTTTAGCTTGCACCATTTTATTTTGTTTTATTAACCAATTTACTGTTTTTATTGTGTTTATTGTTCTATTGTGATTTTATTATTTACTTTTGTAAGGTGACCTTGGGAGTTTTGAAATGCATTATTATTGTTGTTGTTGTTGTCGTCATCATCATCATCATCATCATCATCATTATTATTATTATTATTATTATTATGTCGTCGTCGTCAGTAGCAGTAGCAGCAGTAGTAGTAGTAGTAGCAGTAGTAGTAGTAGTAGTAGTAGTACTAGTAGTAGTAGCAGTAGTAGTAGTAGTAGTAGTAGTAGTAGTAGTAGTAGTAGTAGTATTCACATTAGCATCCAGTATGTGTCAAAATAAACAACTAGCAGTGAGGATTTCTCTTTGAACACCTGTACCTGTCCTGGTCATCTCCCCTCACCTGTCTGTGACAGATTCATGGACTCACAAACAGCCAGAGACCAAAGCTTCAACACAAATATCAACTCAAACCTGAATGTGTAACGTGACGACATTAGTGAACACAACTCAGAGTGATTCCTGACTCACAGAGAGAAGTGTTTGTGTGTTTTTTACAGGTGAGTTTTGAGAAAATGATCGGTTTCTCAGTGATTGTGCAGCGAGTTGTGTGTTTGTTCCTTTGTGCAGGAGAACGTGTCCCTGGCAGACATCTTGTCTTTGCGGGACAGCTGTCTGTGTGAGGAGGAGGTGTGGGCTGTGTGTGCTGAGTGTGTCCTGGCTCTGCAGAGCATCAGACCCTCACATCTCTTCTACACCCTGTGTATCACCCCCGACACGCTGGCCTTCAACGCACACGGCAACATTTGCTTCATGGAGCAGCTCAGCGGTGAGTCCACAACACAAATACACTGCTGCAGTACTTTCTGTACCAAGTACTGCAGTACTCAGCTGCTGGTTCTGGCAAGCAGGAGGCTCTACTTTTAGCCTGCAGGGATCCAGCCAAGGAGTGGGCCGGTCTAAAACCTACGAGCTGCAAGAGTGCTGGAGCTTACACAACAACAACAACAAATACACTTTGTTCTGCAGAGGTCCACAAACACACAACACAGCTGACTGCAGACACACAACAGACATGACTGCAGACACACAACAGACATGACTGCAGACGTACAACACAGCTGACTGCAGACACACAAAACAGCTCATCAGGTTTGTTCTTTTTTCTGGAGCTCAGGGTTTGTTTTTCCTCAATTACTCAAAAAATACTCTGCCTGCAGTACTCTTTACCTCCTGCAGTACTCTTTACCTCCTGCAGTACTCTTTACCTCCTGCAGTACTCTTTACCTCCTGCAGTACTCTTTACCTCCTGCAGTACTCTTTACCTCCTGTAGTACTCTTTACCTCCTGTAGTACTGTGTACTTCCTGCTCTTCTCTCTGCAGTACTCTTTACCTCCTGTAGTACTCTTTATTCCTGTAGTAGTCTTTACCTCCTGTAGTACTCTTTATTCCTGCAGTACTCTTTACCCCCTGTAGTACTCTTTACCTCCTGTTGTACTCTTCACCTCCTGTAGTACTGTGTACTTCCTGCTCTTCTCTCTGCAGTACTCTTTACCTCCTGTAGTACTCTTTATTCCTGTAGTAGTCTTTACCTCCTGTAGTACTCTTTATTCCTGCAG